ACTCAGACATAAGAGCAAACTATGATTAGCTCAACCTCTGGTTTGGAAGGCAGTTTTTAAAAACAACAGTATGGTGCCCTGGTTTGTGAGCCACATGCAATGGCTTCTGCCGATACACTCAGCTCTACCTCTTGTTCACATCTAATCCAGGTGAGGCAGTGGCTGTCCTGGACCAGTGCCTGGCCAAGGTAATGGGCTGGATGAGGGCCAATAAACTGAGCCTCAAGGCAGATAAGAGAGAGGTCCTTTTGGTGAGTGGTTCAGGTTTTCAGGTAAGTGATTTTGGTCCTGTCCTGGATGGGGACAGGGTCCGCATCCTAGGAGTGCTACTCAACCCAGAGCTGTCCCTGAAGGTCCAGGTGACGGCGGTGGCAAGGAGTGCTTTCCTTCAGCTGATCCATCAGCTGTGCCCTTACCTGGATGAGCACTGCCTAGCAACGGTGACACATGTTCTGGTAACCTCCCGGTTGGATTATTGTAACATGCTCTATGTGGAGCTGCCCTTGAAAATGGTCTGGATACTTTACTTAGTACAAAATAGAGCTGCCAGACTGCTGATGGGGGACCGGTCGTTATTCTCGTATAATGCCGGTCCTCAATCAGTTACACTGGCTTCCGATTGAAGTCCGGGCCCAATTCAAGGTGCTGGTACTAACTACAAAGCCCTAAATGGCTTGGGACCAGGATATCTGAAGGAACGTCTCCTCCCTATATGCTATCATGCCCCTTAAGATCGGCAGGAGAGGCGTTACTTCAGGAACCCTCCCTGAAGGAGGTAAAGTGGGTGTCCCACCTGGAGGAGGGCCTTCTCTGTGGTGGTGCCCAGATTGTGGAATGTGTTCCCAAGAGATGTTCACCTGACGCTGACTTTATACTCTTTTCATTGCCAGGTAAAAACCTTTTTATTTAACCATTATTTTAAGAATTAAGGATTTTAGATGTTTTAAAATCCAGTTGCATTTTCTTTAGTTTTGTTGAATTTGAATGTCATTTATTGCTTTGTTATTTATTGTTTTAATTATGGTATCATTAATATTATTGATTGTAATTTTATTATTACTTCTGTTTTTAATTATTGTAAGCTGTCCTGAGATGTTGTATTGGGAAGGATGGGCTAAAAATGTTTTAAATAAATAATACAGATTCCGTCCTAAAACAACTGTTTGCCTTTATAAACCCATGTCTGCATGCAATGTGATACCTAAATGCAGCCATAGATAGTATGAGTGTGGATGCAATGCTAAAACAGAGAAAACATGGCCAGGAAATGAGAACAAAAGAACCTGAGCTACAAAAGGGAGGCAGAAGGCATGTTTTGAAGAGTTATGCATGTACTGAGCCTACAGAGGCTCCACTCACAAGCTTCCTCTCATCTGGAGGGTGGGAAAAGCCCCAGGAATGGAAGTCAAGCAATTCCTGCATGTGCATAATGGAGAACAGCCCAATTACTCCAACATATCACATTAATGACAGCATAATAGGAAAGGAACAGAAGACTGACCATAAATCCTCCCTAACAATTCATTATAGAAAATGCTTTGAGGCTGTTCTCTTTGAGTTATCTGCTTTGACCATATGGCCTGGGTCAGCTGCAGAAAAACTACTGCATATAGGACCTGTAGGTCTTAGCACGTAGCAGTTACAGAAAGCAATGCACAACCTCAGCTGGAGGCTCATGCTTAGAAAAAGCAAACTGTAAATCAAACAGTGACAGGAGGGCTTTTCAGAAACCTGCATCTCAGAAAGAAAACAGCAACTGTACCACAATCTGTAATGCGTTGACTCTGTATTTACTGCACCTCTTCCGTGAAATCATGGAACATCAGCATATTATGTTTATTCATTCATGCATACAAGTAGCAGTCAACTGTACACAAGGCAAGCTTTAAATACACAAACTCATTCCTGGCAGGCACACTATGGAGGCTGGGTTAAACAGACCAGTTACATGATTAATACTGCTAGATAAGTGAAGTTGCACAACTTACAGACAGGATTTGCATCTGGCAAGGCCAGGCAGAATTCAGTTTTGCCATCACCCTTGCAGAACAGAGTGATTTAAACAATGCAAATAAGCCACATTCTAGAAAGGTCTATCCGTGCTACCCCAGAATATCTGTGTCCATCTCTGCTTCAAGTGAATCATCCTGGATATTCCCACAGCACTGGAGCAAAGACTTTCAGCTCCAGGGGCAAAATGCAGCCCTCCTGAGGTAGCAATGCAGCCCTTTGGGGGTTCTCATGGCTTCGCCCACATCACTGGACTATCAGCTGTCTGCTGCTTTCCTGGTGTTTCTGCATGTAATTCTGAAAGATTCAGATGCCTCTCCTAAGAGCTTTAAGCTAAAATAGGCTGTTATCTGTAGCCCTCCTTTCAGTTTTGCCACCACTGAAATCTGACCTGCAAGAGCTTCTTCAAAGTCAGATTTGGCCCTCTGGCTGATCTGCAGGCATTTATTTGCATGCAGGGCCCCAGCCACTAAATCTAAATGCATGGTTACAAAAAGCTGAACACCACTTGTACTGTGGAAGTGGAGCTGGTGCCAGCTCATGGCTTCTTTGGGCAGCTGCTGGGGCACCTTGACCTGCCAGGGCCCAAACCACCATTTAAATTTCCCAGAATGCCCCCAACATGGCATAGTTCCAGGGCATTGTGGGAAGTGCATATGACAACTAGACCCAGATACCCAGAGCTTCTTGCAGCACGGCCACCGCCTGCCACAACCAGGATAGGAGCATTAGTGAAGTTCCCCATCAAAGGGTGCTTTGACCTTCAAACCTAGAGTTGACTCTCCATGGATGAACTTCATGAACCAGCCCTTGTGTTTTCTGGGTAGGAAAGGAAATGACTCTGTAGTGGCCTCAGCATGTTCTATGAATAATCACACATTGCTCAAGCTACACTGTATTTCTATAGGCTGAGCCCTAAGGCAACGCCAGGCCAAATATTACAGACTAATAATCCACTGGTCTCCCAGACAAAATGGGCTAGTCATATAGATTTTGCAAAGGAGTAGCAAAGGTTATACAGAGTTCAAGAAGTTACATAGATGTAACTCCACATGGATTGTGGAACTCAACTACTCAACAAACAAATGCACCGATACATTGACATATGTTTATCCTGTGAAAACCACACAATTCTCTCCTGGGTTATTTGCCAGTTCAGCCTGCTGTTGATCAGCAACCGCTCTTAATTTTAAACTGGAATTGGACAGGACATCCCTTCAAATGGAGAACAGTCCCCTAGCAGCCCTTCAGGAAGAAGGTTGTCCTCTGTAAGAGAGCACACATTTTTTTCAATTCAATTCAACTCAGTTCCTTCCAGTAGCCCAAAGGCTGTCTGGCATGTTTTGGAAGCTGGGAGGAGGGGATACCTTCTGGAGCAGATTTTAGGAGGGAGTAGACCGCTGTAAGGAGTGGTGGTCAGAGGAACAGAAAATCTCTTTGCATGAGGAGAAAAACCACCCTAGGTGGTTATTATGTCTTTAAAATTAAAAGATGTAGAAGAAATTGGTAGCAAAAAGGAAGTCCCAAGCATGATGCTATCAGTATAGACCACAACTGAAGCCCTGGATTGCCTCTGGATTCTAAGCTTTTGCTTTTTGTTGGGCTATGGTTACCCAGCAAAAGTCCACCAAAGATGTACTGAAAGTGAGAGTTATTTTTAGGGAAGCCAAAAGGCATTCCAGCTATATTAATGGCAACCCACGGTGAGGATATCCTTCTCTAATTCTGCTGTTACCCTCTTTCCTGCCTTATCATCATGCAACCCAGCGGCAGCAGCAGCTGTATTCACGTCTGTTTTCCATTTTTGTTTTATCTGCCAACTAGCCTCCAGCTGATGCTTGTCCTGAGGAAACCAGAAGCAATGATAAGGCCATTGCTTGGTGAGATGCAGGATATCTGCAAGCAATTCTTCCATTTACAGGAAGCATTTTTCATAGCAGTATACTACAGATATTTGTTTTCAGAATATGTACTTGCTAAGATAACCAAGGAGGAGGGCCACAGAAAATAAACAAAGCATTTGTCTCTACTTAAGTGTTCAATAAGTCACAAAGTCACAATTAATAACGCCAGCTTTCAATCTTGTACCAGAAGACTGTGTTCTAACACTGCTGTAATGTGAGCCAAGTTTATCAGACCAGACAAATAGCATAGCCCAGGCTTTTTTAATGGTAGGAAGCAGAAGGGAGAATTTGTTAAGTGCATTCTACTGCTGTGGTACTTTAAAGGAAGAAGCTGCACCTAATACCATTCTTCCCATTGTACAAGATGTGTCAAGGCAAAGGAGCCAAAGGATTTAGGAAATCTTCAAAGTTAGTTACGGAAGACTATCCCATGACATTCCCATAATATTAAGGGGCTTTGTACAGTACTACTTACTGATCTAAAGGACCATTGGTGTTTCTATTAGCTGGGGGAAGCAGGAATCAGTTTTGGGAGCCGAATCCCACCTTCGGAGATTCCTCAGAGAGCCATGTCTGACCACTGATGGTATGGTAGCTTCCTGGTTAATGTGCAGCCATTCCCCCTTCCCCACACACATACACTTCTAAGTGATTGAAATGCTTCTCATATGGCTGTAAATGGTCTAAACTAAAGGAAGCTGGTACTTTTTGGCTCCAGTACTTGTGTCTTTGGCTCTGCCCAAGTCTAGAGTACAGGCCCCAAGAGCTTCTCTACAATGAAATTCAGCCTGTGGCCTGAAAGAAGTTCAACATCATTGTGCTAAAGCATGGTGAAGAAGTCAATTTTCCTTCCCTCCCTTTAATGAGAAGAATAAGAATTCTAATGTACTGTAATGACTGCAAAAGTACCATGCCAAACCATCATAATTATCTGTTTTGTTTATAATATAAACTAATTTCTATAACTACCATTTCCAGAAATGGTAGTTATTTCTGATTGATCAATCAATCAATCCAGAATAAAAATGTGCTTTTAAAATGATAAATCAAGTATTCTTCTGTTTAGATCCCTTTCTGCCAGACAACTTTAGGCGGAACTAGACAATTATCAGGAATTTTCTAGAACTGTGATCCTAAAAGCCTCATGGTTCCCAGATGTTCATTGTATAAACAACCCTAAAAAGCAATCTAATATTGATGTGCTGAGAAGTTCCTGCCTTTTCTTTTGCAAGGTCTTCTTACAGTACCACCCAAGTACATCACTGGTTGCTTGGTGATTCTGATTCTTTATGATGTCATGGCTGCCATAGAAACCCTCTTGTCTATACAAGTAAAAATCCCATCTGCCAGGAGAAGAGCATGGGAAGCTGAGAGAGGAGGCAACACCTTGAGTCTGGCAGGATCAAAGCTGCTCAACTAGACCATCACCACTCTATGGCCCTGGGTGCAGCTCCACCTTAACACAACGAAGATGGCTCATGAAATTGACTGGTTACGCAGTCAGGCAGGTGTATGCAAGGTAAACCATTACAGTGCTGAAACACAGAAAGACCAGGACCGTAAAATGATCTGCTTTGTTGATGTTTCCAGCTTAAATGTAAAAGACAAAGATCAGAAGGGATACAATGAACTTGATCTGGGGAGTTTGGAGGAGAAAGAAGTTATTGTAATAAAAGATAATGAGCGAAACAATCCGAACAATACTGAAGGTGCAGTCTGTCTTTTTAAGCAAGGCTCCTCGGAAGAACTCAATGTTGTAAGCTGGCTAAGCAATGATCTTCAGAAATACGCCATTGGATTTCAGCATGCACTGACACCTTCAAGTGGCTCTCGTAAATCTCAGCCTTACACCATATCAGCTGACAAACTGACCACCACTGCTACTGGTCAAAGAAGCTCAGATGATCCTTCTTACGTCAACAGACTTTGCTCCATGGTTGTTCAAAAGGCACGTCAGGAAATCAAGGATAAACTAGAAAGCAACAGTAACAGCATGCGCCAGCCTCTGAATGCAGAAAGCAAAGTTTCAACTCCAAGACTCCATGATAACGGCTCAGAAAAGCCCTGGTCAATGGATTTGCATGCAAAAGACATTTTTGGAATGACATTAAAGATGATACAGCAACACCTAATGGAAAAAAACAGGGAAGCGTCTCGAGAGATAAGTTCACCAAGTTACACACACAGGGAGTCTACTAATTTTGACCGGGCTGGAGGAAGCCAAGTTCCCAAATGCCTTCCAGGGCCAGGTGGGTTACAAGATCCTCCACACCACGAACCACCGAAGACAAGCATATCTAATATCCTTTTGTCACTTGTTCAAAAAGTCTTGCGTGAAGCTGCTTCAAGTCTGGATGAGGCTACCAGTGATGCGCAACGGTCTTGTAAGCCGGCCTCCACTTCATAAATCAGGCTCAGGAGGGAAAAGGGCCTTATTAAAAACAGACTAATGGAACACGGCATATGTATGACAATGTGGATCACATAAGCAAGCAATTTATTGACCAGTTGATGTAATCTGCGATAAGGTTGAGCCAGTTCTTGGCTAAGGAAAGAAGTGGCTTCAAGGTAGCAATGTGCAAATATCACAGTTGTGCATCATAAAACATGGAAGAGGAAAGATCTTCTTTCTGTAGGGGGATCAGACAGGAGGCAACTGGGTCCCATCAATTCTGGAAGCAATGGTTAAATAACTTACATAAAAAAGAGCTCATAGCTGCTCCCAGCCCAGTTAATGGCTGCTTCTTAATTTACTGTTCAATCTGACATTCACACATTAGACTGAAGGAAAATTGTCCAAGATGAGCTACCACAAGCGAAATTTACTGCAGGAACCAATGAGTTACTTTGGAAAACAACAGAAAGATTCCACTGTGGGAGATGCTTCAGTGCAGACGCTTGATGGACTCCATGCAGGTGTCAACTCACCCTTCTCTTACTGCTTCAACCCAGCCTAGGTGCCTCACCACCCTTTACTGGTGCAACAACTGCCATGGCCACAACCGCAACAGCAACAAATGCCATCACAAGCAATGAATTCAACTGGTAGATAAAATTGTAGCTGGCCAAAATCCTCCATTAAAAACATTGTAAAAAGTGAAAGCAGGAGAAAGACTGTTTTATTAATCCCTTCAAATGAACATGACAAATGCCACACTGAGATACTCAATGAGCTTAGAAAGCAGCTATACGAAAACCAAGGTTCTTCAATTGGAAGGTACTAAGCAAACTCAGGCAAACCTCCATGCCTTAATTTTTATTCTTAACACAAGCATGAAATGCTTGTTTTGCTGAATTCCAATTATTTTTGTCAGAGGTTTCAGCAAAAATTGGGCTTGAACAACCCTGAGACAGCCTTCTTTGACTTTGCACCCTCAGGTGTGTTGGACTACCATTCCCATAATTCCCAACCATCAACAAAAAACAAAAGAAAACAAAAATGTGGTCAGCTGGCCCATGAATGGGCCAATGCAGCTGGAAGATTCTGGACATCTTAGTTTTGTAAAGGCCCAAGGAAGCTCCCCTTTCTCTGTAGGTAAGGGACACAGGGAGCTTTCCTGTTTGTTCACAGCATGTGCTTTACCACTGAAGTGTGAAATAAACCCCAGCTGGGGAAGCTGGGGAAGAGGGAAATGTAGGAATTGAAAAGACAATTCCCTTCACCTACCCTCCTTACCTCCAAGGTTGAGAGGAAGGTGGATTGTTTACCCACCCTACTAGCCAGATGGTGGCAGCGTACATTCTATGGCAAACAAGAATGCGGAAGCCTTCTTTAAACAGAAATAACACTGGGATAAGGTGTCATAGGAGGCCATTCACATAAAGTATGCACACCTTTTAGAAAAGCCATTTCAGGTTACATACTGAAACCACTTGTACAGAAAGTTGGTCAGTGGCCAACATGTACAGGGCAGGTGATCAGTGTAAAGATGGAGAGCCACATTTTTCTGAGAGCTGCATGCCATGGCAGCCCAGCATCAAGCGTGTGAGTGGATGGATTGGTAGCTTCTATCTGACCTTCCCTATTTACCAAGATGGACACAGTTCAAAAACAAAGATATGGGGCACTTTGATTTTGCTGATGACACCCACCTTTGTAACACCACAGTGTACAAACAAATACCTTCCTCTCAAACAAAAAAGAACACATTTTATGACCCAATTCACATACCTCTCTCTGCTACAACCATATCCAGGTTGCTTCATTGTTGAAATCATTATCCAAATAAGCCTGCATAACTGAGCATACCATAGGTTTGTCAAGTACTACTGTTTGCACCTACCCAACAAGGCCGGGATGGATAACTATTTGCATCATGAAGGCTGAAATTGCCCCTGGGTTGCAGAACAGCAGCCAATGGTTCACTGGCAGGAACCCCCATTTTCTTTCTCTTCCAAACACACACACACATGCACGTGTGCGCCCCACACAATTCTTACACATACATATGCACTCTTCCTAGCCTACCTCCTCATGTGATCCCTGCATTTTCCTGCTCAGCACTGTGAGAACTCCCTTTCTCAGAGATGGAACAGGGGAAAGACTTATCTTTGACTCTCTACCAAAAAAAAAAAATTGTCTGTGGCAAGCAGTACAGCCCAGAAATGAAACTGGTAGGCTGGATGGGAAATTCTGCAAGAGGTATCCTCATGGGCTAAAAATTCCTTATGCCAGCTGTGCAATACTTTACAACAGAATGGCTGGGCTCAGGTGGCACCATAATCCACACTGAAGACAGGTATCAGTTGAATGTGGGTTGTTACTGAACCATGGATTGTGCTGTTGCTGAATGCAGCTTGCTATGAACAAGCCGTGCATGGAACCCATGATTTGTTTTTCAGCTGTGAGCTGTGCGCTATTCACCATGGTTTGTTACCTTAGCCCAGTGGGATAACAAAAACCTACAATAACAAGCCACACTTAACTCTTTTGTGGTCTGAACACAGACTGTGAGACACAAGGGCCCGTTAAGCACTCACAAGTCCCATTCCATTTCACCCACTCCCTTCCGCCCATGGAAATTCAATGGGATTTCAGTGTGCTGTGCCCCATGTTAAGAGTGGTTTAGCAGAAAACCAGGATAAGCAAAAATCTATTTTTTTTTTGTTCAAATGGTACCATTTTTGTTAAACATGAAGCACTTGCACATCATCTGTATTGTATGCTGTCCAGGCAATACTTCATATATTAGCAATGTAGGCTGTTAAATCCTACAGGAGAGATTTAGTCCTCTAGAAGCTGGTACCAGAAATACTAAAGCTGCTATATTCTTTAATTTACAGTTTAGTTGTAATTTAATTTTGGATTTGGAGTTAACATGAACTCTACTAGAAGGAAAAGTTAGCTTGATTAGTATGCTTTATAAATTAAAAGAGGAAAATGGTCATCTTGACTCCTGGCTGACCTAAAATATTCTCAATCAATACTTAGCAAAACCAGCAGCTTCTCTCATGAGGTACTCCAAATGAGTGAATGGAAAAAATATAGTAGTTTATTTCAATAGCACTGTAGCATCTTGGTATCATTTTGCATACCTCCTATGTCTGATATATAGACAGTTCCATTTCTCTGCTGCATACATTCCAGATGTGAAGAGAAGTCAGAATGAGTTTTAATGGCCCCTTGCCAGTTGCAAAAGGCCTCTCTAGTGTTTCTGCTGGTCACACAAGGCCATGATGCCTTTAGAACCACTTTCCCCAACCTGGTACCTTCCAGATATGTCAACTGATTGATTTCAACTCCCTTCAGCCCCATCCTTCAAGCTTCCTTTGAAGGCAATAAAATATATTTAACTCTTCAGTGCAGCAAGCAAGTGAACTTTATTTGTCCTCTTATGGGTTTGGGGAAATTTGTCTATCATGCTATATAATACTGTCCCTGGAAAAGCTTGTTGAAGGACGTGAAATTAATCCAAAAATTCAAATACTTGAATGGGAAGAAAAGCAGTATTGGTAAAGGTAGTCAGGTGGATTGATACATTAAGAAAGCAAGGTAAGGGCAACAATTCCAAAGCCATCCATTCTAGTCTGGCTGGTACAAGTTTTTCTTTTCTTTCTTTTTCATAAAGAAAGTATATTTTTCTTTTCTTTCTTTTTCATAAAAGGGAATTGATCAAGGGCAATGCCACATTGCCCAGGAATGTTGCCTTCCATCTCATGGGGAACTGATGTGCCTTTAATGGCTTCAAAATATGGTGAAATTCAGCTGCTGTAGATTTGGTTAAGCCTCTCTGGTATTGTGGGGGCAAGAAAAGCTGCACCTATGGTTCTAGAACACATTTTAAAAGGGACTGAAACCCTTTCCACAAAAATCAAGCACCAGCTGTCCTAAACTTGTCTGGTGAATTATGCATCCATTGAAACCTGGGGAGTGAAAAAATGCAATCCCAAAATCAGACAAAAAACTCAGTGCAGATAGAATGCTAACCCTATGCATTAGCATTACAGCAACAAGCCTGCATAAACCTCTGACTTGTCTGCCTCTCACTCCTCTCCTGCACGCACAAGGAAGAAATACCAAGTTTTGTCTTAAGAACTAGCCACAGTTCTTTGTGATGTTTGAACTTGTTCAACATTCAGTTCTTTGAAAGGGACAGGGATAACTGGAGGTATCCATGGGTGCCATGTGAGGGACCCACAAGTAATTTCCTTAAAAAAAAAAAAAAAAGATAGCTTCTCCTTCCTGTGCCTGCTCCAAAGTGAATGTGAAAAGTCATTGTAGCGGCTAGAATAGATTTAATGTATTGTTTAGCCCCTTGGAACAACCAGGAGTTCCTGTAGTTTGGCACTCAGAGGGAACTGCCATTAGTTCTAAAGTTTGTACTCCCCTCTTCCGATCCCCATGTTACTTCAGGCCTTCTCCCACAATACTGACAACCTGAGCCAAGCAATGGATTGTATCCATCCCTGAAAGATGGAGTGGGTGAAGGATGCACTATGCAAACTGTTTCAGCTTAGTTACATTGGTTATTCTTAGTTACACTTCTATAGCCAAGGCTTAATTTTAACTAATAATATTAAGAGCTGCAACACCAAAAATTGGGAGAAGCTGTAAAAGAGCTGATGGAAGTGTTAGTTGAGGGAACGGCATCTCTAACACCTCAAGATATGCAGCATCAACTGCTATCCCAATTTTATGATTTATATTCATTTTAAAAGAATCTTGAAACTCACTTGATTGAAATAAGATGCTCAAAATATCTTTTATAATTATTTCCATTGCATATAAACATAACCTCCTGGAATTGCTAAACCAGTCTGACTAAATATAGTGAGCACAACTCATGTTGTTGGGGTATCTTTCTCTGGTATGCAGCTAATATAAATAAAATGAGTGGAGAGAAGCTGGCTGTATTCCATGGGCATTACATCACTCTTCCTTAATAGGAAACCTCTCTCCAACTTAACAATTTGCTTTAGTGTGTCCATTTAAGTTCTCAGAGAGGATCATCTTGTGAATCTGATGTTTTAATCAGCAACAATGTAAAAGAACAGTAGAAATTTTGCAATTAGAAACTGACCACAGCTTTTGTTGCAACATCTGCTTAAAGCTTTTAGTATCTTCTAGTGAAATAGT